GGTGGAGGCGCCAGCGGAGGTGGCGGCATTGAGCCGCTCAAATCGAATAGTTCACAGCAGACGAGTGGAGACGAGGGCATTGCCATGTCCAATTCCAATTCGCAGACATTTACAGCCGGCGAGGCGCCCGCCAGCAAACTGGAGGCCCAAACGCCCAACGTTAAGAAGCGCCATCGCCGCATGAAGAGCAGCAGCGTCAAGGCAAATGAGGCGGACGACAATGATGGCTACGAATTCTATATTGTTTCGCTGGACTCCAAGCAGTGGCATTTTGAGGCTGCCAATTCGGAGGAGCGCGATGAATGGGTCGCCGCCGTCGAGCAGGAGATCTTCAAGAGCCTGCAGGGCATCGAGAGCAGCAAAACGAAGCAGGCAACCAGTACGGAACTGGCCGCCATGCTGGCGATCAGGCAGCGGGTGCCCGGCAATGGGCATTGTGTCGACTGTGGAGCGCCAAGTAAGTAGGAAAATAGTTTAGTTAAGCGTTAGTGCCATTACCAGAACTTGGCGATAGTTTGAGTTGAAATTAATGAGTCTAAATAGGGATATATATAGATATTAAAAGGTTCTCCTTGCTTATGATACTATCGATCATCACTAGATTCTGGCGATAGCTTAGGATCTAATCAATAGTTTTATCACTAGACTGGCGATAGTTTCAATTAAGGTAAATTCTAGTTGTGAATTCAAGGACTCCTTAATAATAAGAGAAACTATGGCCCGATTCTGCATATAATTTAAGATTTGCCGATTGTTAACAATAATGATCACGGGATTACTATCCGAAGTGTCATCACAAGATCCTAACGATAGTTTTAAAAACAGACATTTTTATTAATTATATGTCTTAGGATTTGTGTTATTAATCGTACCGTGAAACTCAATTTTCCACAGGTAGTTCTTTGTTACAGAAACACATACAGAAAGAAAATGTTTAGTATCAATTGAGTTTTTAGCTTCTTTTTTTTTGCTGAGGCGTGATCCGCAACTGTGGTAGCGATAAATATAATAAGGGTATTCACGAATTAAGTTATATAAGAAGTTATATATATATTTTTATACCCTTAACCCATTAAAAATGGGTATATTGTATTTGTGCAAAATCCAAATGTATGTAACAGGCAGAAGGATCAACCAGCAAGGATCTCAGAACCTATAAGAGCTAGAGACTTGAAATTTAGATGTAGGTGCTCCTAGGGCCTGCGTAGATCGAGTTTGCCCAAAGTTCTTGCAGTACTGTCCGCATTGTTGCTGGATATCAGCATTAGGGGTACCCAGTTAAAACAATTGAAAAAAATATTTATGATTCTCTTACCCCTTTCAGATCCCGAATGGGCCAGTCTCAATCTGGGCGTGCTCATGTGCATTGAGTGCTCGGGCATACATCGGAATCTCGGTTCGCACATATCCAAGGTGCGCTCCCTGGGTCTCGACGATTGGCCGTAAGTATTAATCCATTAAAAAAAACTCAAACTTTTACTAATTTCTCGTTTATCTGCCCTTTAGAGCGCCGCATCTGAGCGTTATGCTGGCCATTGGCAACAGCCTGGCAAATTCTGTGTGGGAATCGAATACGCGGCAACGTGTTAAACCGACAGCGTTGGCCAATCACGAAGAGAAGGAACGCTGGATACGCAGCAAGTACGAGGCCAAGGAGTTTCTCACGCCCTTGGGCAGTGGCAATCATGTAAATGCCGCCTCGCCGGGCCAGCAGCTCATTGAGGCGGTCATCAGGGCGGACATCAAGTCGATTGTCTCCATATTGGCCAATTGCCAGGCAGAGGTGACCAATGCCAATGTGAGCGCACGGGATGTGCGCACCCCACTGCTGCTGGCCTGTGCCATAGGCAACCTGGCCATAGCACAGCTGCTCGTCTGGGTGAGTTAAGCGGAAAAAGAATCCATCCATTGAATGTGTATTAATTTGTTGTACAATTTTATAGAACGGCGCCAACATCAAGCACACGGATCATGAGGGTCGCACCTGTTTGGCCTATGCACGCGCCGCCCAATCCCTGGCCACGGCCAAGTCGATGAAGGCAGCCGCTGCTCTGGCCGCCGGCACCCCAGCTCCGGCCCCAGCGCCCTCAGCTAATGGTGGCATACCCGCACCACAGTACAATGTGGAGGATACAACGGCTCTGGTGGAGCTGCTTGTAGGTCTGGGCTGTCCGGAATCGGCGCCGCTTACAGCCAGCGGCACGTTGCCCCGACGACGGGATACTTTGGGCACACCCTATGAGAAATCCGTTTCGGGCGTTATCTAAAAAAAAAAAAACAAAAACGCATAGTTGAATTTCATAAGCTTCAAAACAAGTTTGTTTTTTTTTTTAATTGTATTAATTGTAAAATGCAGAAAATATGTTTAATCTGTTTGTTCGTAATAATTAGTTTTAAAAAGTAAGCGTAAATTTCTCGCTGTGTATAGCAAAAATAATTGGGCAAGTTTTGAATGACGCTTAGTTTTATAGTTCTAAAACGGAAAGAAAAACAAAAAAAAAATTTAAATGTGCAAATTAATTATTTTTTTCTGGCCCGCTTTGTATGAAAATTCAGAAAAATTAGTTTTTTATCTACGATTGTTTTTTAGTTTTGTTTTGCTTTTTAAGTACGCTTAATAATAGGCACAATCTGTACAGTCTTGTTGTAATCTCAAGTTTTAAATTAATTTATTATTTGCGTATTGTAACTATTATCATTATCATTATTAATTATTATTATTATTGTTTTTTAATTGTGTGCAGGTTTTTTTTTCTTATTGTCGTTTGCAAAACAACAAATTAAGTAATTATGTAATTTGCTTTTTAAATAATTATTAACTGTAGGAAAACAAGAAAAGGCTCTCATATATAAAATTACATTATGCCTAAAAAAAATAGCTGATGAAAAAAAAATTAACAAAACCAACAATATATACGTATATAAACATAGTGAATCTAAGACTAAAGCCAAAAACAACTTATTACACTATATCTATACATAAACAAATTCTATAAATATATATATATATATATATATATATATATATATATATACAAAAGTTGAAATTGCTTGATAATCGGTTAAAACACGCTTAACTTGTAGTTTATGCAAAAACAAAAACCAAACAAAATGAATTCGCTAACAATATTCTAAAATAGAAAAAACTTTAAAAATATTCAATAAAAATGTGAGCATTGATTTTATTAGGATCGAAGCAGTTAGAAATGAAATGACGATTTACATTATATATATCTATATATATATCTATATATATATATATAATATAGGAGGAAACACACTTCAAAGTATTTCAAACTAATTATACAATATAGTTAAAAAATTCTATAAAAATGATATATATATATATATATATATATATATGTATGTATACACCCTGTCCCCCCTTATTATGTACGCTATTTGTACCACCTTGGAAGCATAAACACAACAAAACGTGACAAAACTCAATTAAATTGGATAAAAAAAAGGCAACAGGCACAAAGAAACACAAAAAATAAAAACCATAAAAAACATGAAATAAAAAATAAAAATTGATTAAACATTACCAACAATTTGTGTTTGTATAAACTGGTCTTAAATATTATAAAGGTGACATTAGAAATAATTACTTACCACAACTTAAAAATTAATTAAACTGCGAGACGATCTTAATTTTATTCCAATCAACTTTATATAACTTATATGCTGACAAAGTGTTTCAAGAACAGTGAGCATATAATTTGGGTCTGTAGCTGCATTTGGTTAAACAAATGAGTAAATGGGAGTTTTTAGTTTTTTTTTGTTTCAAATCAGATTTTCAAATTTTGATTTATATTGATTTATGAAAAAAAAAACAAAACAAAACTTAAAATCAACAGTTAAAAATCCTGAAACCAAAACTTATAAATTCCTGCAATATGAATTTTTTATACATAAAAAAAAAATCCAAAAATATTTACTTGTCGGAAACTTTATTTCATTTTAAAAAGATATTACACTTAGTTTTTTTTGCTCGAAAGTTTTTAAAGTATATAGAAATAGTTTGAAATACGTGTACGTAATTAGATCTTAATACTTTTCTTTGTTTTTACTACAGTATTACACACGTTTGTCCGACAAATGAGTTTATGTTATCAATTTTAAGATTAATTGTTATATATGTTTTATATAGTTTGTAAATTGTTTATGATTGGCTTGGGCAAAAACTGAATACTCCGTCGCGTATGGGAAACGTTAAACTGGGTTGGAGGGTTAACTAAAAACAAAAGTTCCGGAGCAGGTGAAGGAAGGTTTCTTGACCATAGCTTCAATTACCATATATTCCCAAAACAGGAATATATTGTATGTATGTGCCTCCGGTTTTGTGGATGGGAAGAGGGGGGATTGCTGATGGTTTATGAAGGGGGGTTCAATTAGAAACGCGCTCTACCATATGCGCTTAATGAAGGGATACATACGATGCGCCGCACTCGAAACGAGGCTCCGGGTTTTGTAAGGATCCTTAAACGCCTTCTGACTAAACTCGGGAGGGTTCTTAAATGTTTCTTTTTTTGATTTTTTTTTTTTTGTAAGCTTGGATCATGAAAATTTTCAATTAGATATTTTTTTTGCTTGATTTTTTTTTTCATCTTTTTTTTTTTGTTTGTTTATCCTTGGCCATTTATCCGTATACGTTAGCTGAGAGTCGTCGTCGTTTGAGTTGAAAGTGAACGATTTGATTTTAGATTTCTTTTTCTTTTTTTTAGTTTTCTGGGTTTTTTTCTGTCTAACACAACAAGCAAACTCCACGCAATGCTGCCGCATGAGCCGGACCCCATTGTACAATAGTTGTTGCAGCGGTTGTTGTTGCTGCTGCTGCTGCTCTAGATGCTGCTGCTGGGTTGGATTTCTTTAGAAGCAACAACAACAACAATTTACAAACAACAAACAACAATCAACAACAACAACAACATAGAAGCTAACAACCTGCTGCTGCTGCTGCTGTTTATTTTGTTTGTTTTTTTTTTCTTTTTTTTTAGTTTTTTTTTTGTTTTTTTTTTTTTTGTTGGTCTTGTTTGATTGCCGTTTTTGTTGCCCCCGCTGGGCCGCGTCTGAGAGAAACTTTTCGTTAACTTGGAACTCCATGTCGTTTTGTTGTGGTTGTACAGTGAACACACGCTTTGCACATCCTCTTGCATTTATAAATTTGCATCTGCTGTTTGCCATGCATTTGCCACCTAGCGTCTGCTACGGCTCACTCATTTTTTGTTGGCCTTAAACTTGGCATAGAAGCTCTGGATTTGGGCATAGCGCACGGGTATCGAGTCGAGTATGCCCGTATAGCTGAAATTCTGCTGTTGGCGATTCTTCTCGTGCAGATTATCGCCGGACAAATAGGTGACCACATTCTTTTGCAGCTCGCTGACATGCGGATCGGCATGATTGGCTACCAGATGGTTGCAGAACTGGGCGATTTGTAGGAAAACCGAGGCATCGCGATCTATTCAAAAGATACAAACAACAATTAGCACACAAATCCAAACTTTATGAAACTCCCCCCCTAACTCCTCACTCACCCATTTTGCGTGATATCTTGAGCAGCGACAGGGGCTGGCTCTCATTGTCGCGCTGTGCGCGCAGATGGCGATTGCCATGCTTGAACTCTTGTTCCAACCAGCGTATGACATGGCGCACATTCTCGCTGCGCTTCTTAAGCTCATCCAGCTCGTTGAGCACTAGAGGAATAACAAGGATTAGCTGCTGCTTCAAGGAGACACCAACAATGAGCTGTCACTCACCCGCATTGGGTATAAGCACAATGCACTTTTTGGTCCTGACCAGCGATTTTACAATGCCATTGTATTCGGTTAGGGCCTTGGCATCCACGACAACAAATGGCGACATGACCACGTGGGTGGTGCTGTCGCGGAGTTCCTCCTCCAGCGCTTCCACCTCGTTCTGCAGCCAAAGTTTGCCCATTATTTCGCATTTTTTAGTCTTCGCCTCGGAACGTTCCTCATCGGCGCCGCTGCTCGACTGCAAATTGAGCTTCTCGATGACACTGTTCGTGGTGGTCGAGGCGGAGGCCGAGGTGCCACCAGCTACGGAGGTTCCCGTGGCGCTGGCTATAACAGCAGCTGCCTTTTCCGCATTGCGATTGCGCAAGTAGCCCTTGCGTGGCAGCTTGCGGCACTCCTCAACTGTGTCCTTCTCCTCGTTGCTGGTATAGCTCTTACGTACGATGCCGTTCTTGCGATCCGAGTAGCGACGGGTGCGACCCTCGTTCCGCTTGCGGGTGGTCTTCGGTGCCGTACGACGTTCGCGTCGACGCGAGCACCCACCCTTCTTCTCCTCGCGCTTTTTCTTCTGGTTTTCGGTGAAGCGACGGGTCTTCACACAGAAGCGATAATTGAATTTTTTCTGCTTGCAAATGAAGAAACCAAAATCGACCATCTTGAAGATGCGCAGTATGGACTCCTCCTGGGGCGTAACACGCTCCCTGATTATAGTCTCCCAGTCTAGGGTGATTTGTGTGCTCTGGAATATGTCAAAGTTCTTGAAGGCGAAATCTTCGCTCAGAGGCACATTGGCCCGCACGTCAAACAGCTCGACCAGAGCTTCGCGCACATTGCTGGTCGTCAGCAGCTCCCGCTCAAAGTAAACCTTCCGGGTGAATACATCGATATTGCAGTAGTTCAACAGCTTCATAATCTTGTGCACAAACTCCGGATTGGAATGATAGCAGCCAATAAGGATCTCTGGATTAATGCGCAGCCAGTCAAATAGCATCTTCAGGGCACGTATTGTCGGCTCATTGTGCAGGCAGTCGATTATAATATTCGGATTAATCTTCGTGTACTTGTTGCGATAGACAAGTTTCTTTGGGGGCTCCGTCATGCTGACAGGTGGCACATTTGTGCCGCTGATTATATTGGCCGTGGGCAACTCAGCGGCAGCTGCTTTGGTATCCTCAGCGCTTTTGAAGTTCAGCTGCAGCACTTCGAAGCTGCGCAGCAATTCCTCCGAGTCTGCCTCCTGCGAATTGGGTCGACGTTCCAGATCTTCGGGATAGATGAGACGCTCCTCCTCAATGACCACATCCTCGCTGTCTGAATAGACATGGGCGCCGGCCGGCTGACGTGCTGAGCGCTCCTTTTTGACATAGTCAGCTGTAAGCGGCATTTAAAGTGTATCGTTAAGAAGTGCGAATAAAAAATATGGATATTATGGAGTTCTGCAAGTATATGTAAGAATTCGAAGACCTCTCCGACCCGGGGTAGTATGATCAACATTAACCACCGAAACGTCCGCCGATTTGGTACTTCTCCAACTTATATTTGTTTAAGTTTGTATACCCCTGCAGAGGGTATTATATTTTTTGGGTCTCGAAATGTGTAACGCATGGAAGGAGACATCTCCGAACCCATAATGTGTATATATTACTGATAAGATTCAACAGCCGAGTCGATATAGTCATTTCCGTCTGCCCGTCTGTCTGTTTTTATGCGAAATAGTCAGTTTTAAAGCTATTGTCATGAATCTTTGCAGAAGTCCGTCTTTCCGTGGCACGCAGTACATATATCGGAACCGGCTGGATCGAACCACCATATCATATAGCTGTCATAGGAACGATAGGTCGAAAATACGATTCTTGTATGAAAAACTTTTTGCTTTTCAAGATATCTTAAGCATACTCGGCATTAACTATTTTCCCCGTGCTTCTTAGATACGTATTTTAAAATATAGAATACGAAATGCGGTCTTTCATAATTTTATGCATTTCTGCTATGCAATTGCAGAGAAACGCTAATTTCGAGCACTGCGAATTTCAACACGATCGGAGAACAAATACAATCTTATTTCAGAACGAATTGTCCATTGTGACTGAGGACAGAATTAGAGCCTTAAATTATTTGTGAGCTCTTGTACAGGGTATACGCTAGTCGACTTGCTAACTTCAGTGTCCCTCTGGACATTAGTGACTCACCTGCTGGCGTCTCATCGGGCTCACCGGCATCAATGTCACTGAAATCTGTATCGAAATTGGAGCTTAAATCTGTGTAGTCCTCCTCGTCGCTATAAAAGTCCGTGTCCATGTCGCTCTCGCTGTCGTAGCAGGAGCTGTCATCCGATTGGGCAATCTTGCGACGACGTCGACGCAGACGCATGCCACGGCGCTTGCTCTTGCAGGAGAGCGGCGTCTTCAGATCGCTCTCCTTGGCCTCATCGCTGGAACGCGTGGAGATGGGCTCGGTGCCGCCCAGTTTGTCTGTGTCGGCTGCCTCCTGTGTCTTGGCGCAACCCTCATCCGCCGAGTGCTGGCTGTCCCGTGAATCAGAGCTACAATCCTTTAGTGAATGCGGACGAGCCATCAATTTCTTATCCTTGCGCTCGCACTCGCCCACGGCGGCCAGCCAGTTCTTGTACTCGTTGCGCGACTTACGGACCGTGGTGTCAAACTCTTGGAATCGCTGCTCGTACGCCGCCTGAAAACATTCATTGTCTGCGGCGCGTGCTAAAATCGTTTGCTCAATGTTGACAATGCAGGCATCCATCAGATCCGAGCAGGCGGCCACCAGGAAGGCGTGCAGGGAATACACCTTGGGGGAATTAATCATCTTCAGCTTGGACAGGCAAAAGAATAATATGGAGATTATCTTGAAAATGCTCGGCTCGGGCACGCGCAGCTGTTGGGCGCACAGAATCTTCCGCAAATCGATGAGCACGCAGTGGCAAAGAGAATTAAAATCGGGCACTTCCTTGTCGAAGAAAAAGATGTCAACAATTAGATAGAAGCGTGCAAAGAAATCCTCAATGTTGAATTCCAATTTAGCTGGATCCATTTGCTCCAGATATTCCGTGTGCTTGGCGAACAGTTTATTCAAATTGTTTTCGCTCAGCTCGAAGGGTATAATGCACACCAGCGAGTACAAATAGTGATAGGTCGAGTCCAGATCATAATTCTGACCATAGTACAGGGTGCCCAGCTGATTTTGGGCCATGCCAATAGCTGGATTTAGCTTAAAGGCCTCCAGATAATACTTGGCCACCTGCTCCTTGCTGATGCTCAGGCTCAGCTGGCTGTCAATGCGAAAGTCCAGAAAATAGCGATGCAAATCGCCCAAACTCAAGAGCGACGAGTGTATGGTGTCCAGTGCAAAGGAGACCGCCTCCAGGCTTTTATCGACAGCGGCCTGTGATGGTTCCAGCTCCTTGTCGGCTGCCGTATCGCCTATATAGTCGCTGATGTAGCCCTCACTTATAATGGAAAAGTCAATTAGATATTTCAAGTCCAGATCGTAAATCTCCTCCATTTTAGCCGAGAGACGCTTGTAGTTGAAGATGCCAGCGCAAAGAAAACGTTCCAGCTTCTGCATGTGCTCCGCATCGATGCCCTGCTTATGCGAATGCTTCTTCACAAAGGCAATGAACTCGTAGTAGCCGCGACGCCACATTACTTCGCGCACCTTTTTGCCCACCGATTGATAGTCCTGGATGTGATAAGAATGAGTCACATAACATTTAGTATCATTTGAATAGCTTATTATTAGGATTGGTTTTAAACTTATTTAAAGATACAGTTTCTTTCGATTTTCTCTCAACCTCATATTTCACAATATTGTTTCATATTTTAAATGGCCTTTGGTCTTGATAAAGTGTGCATATTCCATATATGATTTATTATTATATTAAATAATGAATAATATCGTTTTTTCTTTGTTTTATAAATATATATCGTGTTTTGGCTTTTTTTAAGAGTGTATCATGATTTTTTAATTCATGTCCTCAGGTACTAAGAATAAGCTATAAAATAATTTTATTTTATGTTTCTGTAAAATATACGTGGCAGAGTTATTTTCTTCTATTTCTGCCAAAAATATTTTTTTTAAGAATTTATAATTTTTGTTTTTTTTTTTTAATTGTTTTTTTTTTTTATGACTTAATGGATTCCTTGGTAATTTTCGTAAAATATTTATATACATTTTTATATATTTTTTTTATTTTATAGTCCTAGGGTATTGAGGCAGTATTTATATTCATTTATTAGCAATTTTGTTTTCGCGCGAATCCCGATGCAGTGGATTCCATCCCACCTCCCACCAAACCGACCGAGTCGCACAGTCGTGCAACGTACGACACGAATCGCGAAGTACTTTATGCTAAGTCCATCTACTTTATACTTTACTTTACTTTATACGAGAAAGAGAAGGTTCCAAGCCGAATACTAGGTAATCATCACAGAGAACAAAATTGAATAATAAATGAGTCATTTTACGTTTTTGGAAAGTACCAATATTACCTACTACTACCTACTAGTGTGTGCAATATCTATCTTTGGAAGGCAAGAAATGATATTTGATATTTATATTTTGTTTAAATCGAATTTATATTTGTTTTGTAAAATGATTCTTTCGTCCTGGCATTATTTATATAATTTGTGTTGTTTTATTTTGTTCTGTCATTTACCCAATTTTGCTGTTTATTAAAATCTATTTATGGTAAATGTTTATAAATACCTTGAATATAATTTGCTTGCACAGCTGCACAAGATTAGCGCGTTTCTCTTCGATATCGTGCTGGAATAGTTGTCCAACATTTTGTACATTTCGCTTGGCATCGTCCAGCTGCTTGGAGACGGTGTATAAGGCGCTGTAAGAAACATGTACAGTTTGTTGTTTTTGTTGTTGCTCTCACATATGTGTATAGATAATTTACCGATATAAATCCTTAACCTCCTGGCTGAGCGCTGTGTTACCGTTATTCGATTGAATGCCATTGTTGTTGTTGCTGATGCCAATGCCGATGCCGCAGAGCGTGGCGTCTAAATTGCGGCAGCGATTTTTGCTGCTGCTGCTGCCGCAGCCGCCGCCAGTGTCGACGGCGCACTCGCTGGATGCATTTGAGCCGCCGGAACTAAGTGTTGACTCCATGGTCAAAGTGTGAGACACTGGAAAAAATACAAACAAACATGCGCGCGCACACAAACACACACACATACACAAGCGAATGAATAAACGACAATAACAAAGCAACAAGCGTTGAGAACTGTGCAGCTGTTTCTCGAAGCTGTTTTTTCTTGTACTTTGGGATTTTTTTTTTAGCTGCTGACGAATTTTATTTGCACAAAAATTTGCAGCTTCATGTTTTTTATGGTGTTACTTTTGTTTTTGCTTAAATGCTGATGCTGACACACTAACGCACATACACATACGCACTCGCGCATATGTATGCATGTATTGCGTATTGAATAATCAATTAAACTGCGCCTGGCTGCTTATGCTGCTGCGCTGTCACAGCGCTGTTGCTGCTCTGGCATTTTCTATGCAAAAAGACACTTTACCACTGCTTGCGAAATATATTTTTGCACTCTCACGCACTTGGTGTTGTTGATACAATTGCATGCGCTGCGGCTGATTTCTTGCAGATAATTGTTTAAAGAGCATGATTTTTCATTACCTTTATCAGTTTTATATTGTTTTTACACTGTACACAGTTCACGTTTTGCGTTGATTTTCCCTTCTTTGTTAACAACAAAGTGGCGCATGCACGTTCAGACTATGCTCATGCGGTGCGCTTTGGTTCACGAACTGGTTCACAGCTGGCCTGTGTTGTGTTTATTGTGTAGCTTGTCTTGTTTCACATATACAGTGTGTTTATGAGCAATTTATTTTGAATATGTCAACGCACACTTTATTTGATATCGCTGCTGAACATTTAACATACCTAAATTGTACTGCAATACGTCATGCAAATCACACGTGTAACCGTGGCGTACGTGCGCAAATTAAGGCAGGGTTGATACTCGTAATGCGCGCGTTCACTTTATATCGATAAGCTTACGCAGTGTTGTTATCGATTGTTAAGAGCAGCTGGGAGACGCGCGCACTTTTCAAAATGTGTGAGCAGTGACTAAAGATTTGCCGTTAAGATTTAAAATGTAACAAAAGTGAAGTATAGAAAATGTGTAACTTTGTTAAATGTTTAAGATAATTAAATAAGTATACGAAGTGCTTAAAGGTAATGTTGTATTCTTTTGAATGTGCAGACAGTATGAATTTGGTAGTATTTAACATTGCTTTGGCAGAAAAAAATTCCTTTGCTTGTTTATTGGTTATATGCACAAAAACTTATCACCTTTCATCGTTTTTGCTCAATCAATATGCGAAAGAAGTGTGTCAGGCATATTAATGAGCGTGAAGACAGCTTAGCTCCGTATCCAAACATTTCTGCCTACCCAGCTTAACTTATAAATAACTATTGAATCGAATTTTATTATTTTATCTGACAGCTGAAGTCGGTCTCACTGCGACTGCGTCAAAGCGAGCAACGATTAGACGCCGGTCACGTCTCGCTAGCCTCTCCATATCGCTCGACCGAGAGTCCGAGAGCTCGAGAACCTCGAACACCGAACACCGAACCTCTATAAAACTCACGCACTGGCATTCAAACATTTTCAGTTTCCATTCGCGTGCGAGACGCTCAAGTTCGTTGCGGTTCGATCGGCTTTATAATCGGAATTTATCATTTATATGTAAGTTTCTATTTGTTGTACTTCTAGTTTTATATTGTAGGGTGTTGTAAGTTTAATACGGAGACCCTAGCCAGTCCATATATTCTTGACGAGTCTAGCTTGTTTCTGTTTAAATTAGTGTCTCAGTGATCTGCCAGAGTTTGCCAGATCGAAATACTATAAGATATAGGTTAGGCTCAATATATAAGCCAAACTTGGCACTTATGAGCTTTAATATACAATTCAAATCCCGTCCAAATTAGACTAGTATTATATTATATAGCTTTTTAGGAACAATATTTATGGCATGGATAAAAACTGTTAAGTTATTAAATATATCATATATTTCTCTGCAAGGGTATTTAGCTATCGGCATGTCGAAACAAGTTTTTCGCTTTTGTTTTGCATTAAGAACTTGAAACGAGTCATTGCACTGGCTTTAATCAATTTAAGACTTAATTAATTTGTTTTTAGTTAAACATTTTTAATTATCTATTGTTTGTGCTTCGCTTAAATGACTTGACATTCGATTTTTTAATTACTAAGCCATTATTTTTTTATATACCTATAAATACGTATAATCTGACGATAATACTTGTAGCTACAATTTGTTCCAGCTATTTCACTTTCCATCGTAATCCGCTCAGAATCTTATCTGCATTTTCCTTCAATATCGCGCTTTCATAAATAGTTTAAAGACCCAACCGGTAGTTGGAATAGCTTATCAGCGTCTGTTTATGATGCTTCCATATAGATATATATGTATATGGTATACATGCTGACACAGAGAAATCCGTCGTCTTGTCTAGTTGAGCGCTGATCAAATATTTAAAGTTAAATAGTATTATCAAAACATTCAAGAATGTGTAAACATTTGTAATTTTCCAGGAAACTTTGTTGACCGTTTGACGCGCCTGATTATCAATGTATATATATTTATTTATGACTGACTGATTGATTGCTTGACTGATTGATAGAGATTATAACTGGGTAAATGCATTTCTTACAGTTAATATCTTTTATGCCGTTAGTCAACACTTTGATGGGGTGTTAAAGGGGTACGGGTTGTAGGGTTGGAAAGTTGGTAAATAACGTTTGTGAAAATTGATTGAAGAAGTGTCTTTTACTTTTCGGAAAATGCACTTACGCTGCTTGGAAAATGCTGACTGAAGCTAACATGTGCGAAAGTTCAATTTACGTCCGATCGACATTTCAAAGCTCAATGTAAACAAAAATTTTAACTGATTTAATTACAAGCACTTTGACCGCACAAAGCCGAACAATACTTGCTATATAAGCTTTCTCCAACTTCATTCTTTTATTTATTTTTTTAGTTTATTTTTAAGTCAATAATATTAGAAATATAATTTATGCCAGTTGTTCATTTGATCATAAATCTGGCAAAAATCCTAAAAAACTAATAAAATGTTATTATGGAGTTAATAATTTGAGATTTATTTTATTTCAAATTAGTATTTGTAGTGTAAAATTTAGTTCTGTTCTTAAAATTGGGTGTTTTTATTTGCAACCTAATATTATATTTTTATAATTAACATTTTTAATACTTTCCAGCAGGCCAAACGAGTATTTGTTTTGTTTATTTATTGCAATATATGGTAGCACAAAACGAGGTATACAGAAATATCTGCCATCATTTTTGCTTTCTTATTCTTAAAATAATTGTAGATACAAGCTGAATTGATTTTGATTCTATCACTAATTCAAAGAGCACAGATAACAATAACTTGAAATTAGCCACACGCTTTTAATGTGCTTAGACCACAGAGCAACTCTTATCGGCAAAAATACTAGACTATAATTGCGCAATGTATTAGCTGCTTATCTAGAAATTATCGTCCAGTATTAACCAGAAATATGAACAATAGATGATTGTGCAACTACTGCAAAAGTGCTCTTTCATAGACGTCAATTCACTCAGAGAATAAACGCATCAAATCCAGAGAAAATCCGGCTCAAAACCGATCACAATTGATATTTCCGAAACTAAATATCGAAATTTGTGAATACAGAACTTAATAAACAGATGGGCTCGATGCAAGCAAAAAAAATATATAAACAATATGTTTTACTGAAGAAACACATATAGGCTGACCGGGGTCAGGGTCAAAAGTAGGCGACATCTTAATCAATTAAGCTGATACACTTTCCTCTTCTACCCCAACCGCCCGCCCAGCCCAAAAATAGTAGATTGACAATCGCTTTGGCTATAGACACATGATCAGCGTCAGCCGTGTGGGTTCTCTCAATTCAAATCAATTAATGGCCTGATCTAAATTCGAAAAAAAAAATTGTTTGCTTTCCACTTGCAGCGAAGAATTTTGGAAATATGAAGCTGCTGTTGGTAGCCCTGTTGGCTACGTTGGCGGTACGTTTACCAACACTGGCAACAACGAAATTAGTGTTATTAACAAATAAATATTTGTAGCTAACGCAAGCCCTTGTCAAGGAGGAGATACAGGCTAAAGAGTATTTGGAGAATCTAAACAAGGAGCTGGCCAAGCGCACCAATGTGGAAACGGAGGCCTCCTGGGCCTACGGCTCCAATATCAATGATGAGAACGAAAAGAAGAAGAACGAGGTATCCGCCGAATTGGCCAAGTTCATGAAGGAGGTGTCCGTCGATATACAGAAATTTAATTGGCGGAGCTATCAGAGCGACGACCTGAAACGCCAATTCAAGGCGCTCTCCAAACTGGGCTATGCCGCTCTGCCCGAGGCAGACTATGCCGAGTTCTTGGAGACGGTCTCCGCCATGGAATCCAATTTTGCCAAAGTCAAGGTGTGCGATTACAGAAATAGTAGCAAATGTGATTTGGCACTCGAACCAGAAATCGAAGAGGTCATCACCAAGAGTCGCGATCACGAGGAACTCAAGTACTATTGGACACAGTTTTATGATAAGGCCGGCACCGCGGTGCGACCCCAATTTGAGCGTTACGTAGAGCTGAATACCAAGGCGGCCAAGCTGAATAGTAAGTCTGTTTAGCTAGTCAAGTATCATTGCTGCACCATTTAATGATCTAAAGTCAATCCATCTTCAAGCGTATTTTCTTTAATCCATGCACAACCTGTTTTCTCAACCCTAAACCGATTGCAAGTGGATATCCCCCAGTCGGGCACTCTCGACTGACAGTTTCTCAGTATTTAATTCATCTGAAGAAATCAATGTTCCTTATTTGTTTTTATTATTTTAACTTGACCCTAACTTAATCAACTATATCCTTACTTTAACAATTCTCTGATTTTTTCTTAATCTATTCCTTTTTCAAATTGATCCTTTTTGTATTCCCTGTCGTATTTGAATTGATCGTTAATTCTTACTCTAATTCAATTAAATTCTTGATAGACTTCACCTCGGGCGCTGAGCTCTGGCTGGATGAATACGAGGATGACACGTTCGAGCAGCAGCTGGATGATATCTTTGCCGAAATCCGCCCGCTCTATGAGCAAATCCATGGCTATGTGCGTTATCGTTTGAGGAAACATTATGGCGATGAGGTTGTGCCCGAGAAGGGACCGCTGCCCATGCATCTGCTGGGCAATATGTGGGCACAGCAGTGGTCCGATATTGCGGATCTTGTCTCACCGTTCCCGGACAAGCCGCTGGTTGATGTCTCCGCGGAGATGGTCAAGCAGGGCTATACGCCATTGAAAATGTTCCAAATGGGCGATGATTTCTTTACCTCCATGAATCTGACCAAGTTGCCACAGTAAGTTGACCACCTGCACTTTTGATACTTATGCAAGTTGAGTGCTCTCTCCCTTTTACAGAGAGTTCTGGGACAAGTCGATCATTGAGAAGCCCACAGATGGCCGAGATTTGGTCTGCCATGCCAGCGCCTGGGATTTCTATCTGCAAAATGATGTGCGCATTAAGCAATGCACACAGGTGACCCAGAGCCAGCTGTTCACCGTGCACCATGAGTTGGGACATATCCAATACTTCCTGCAATACCAGCATTTGCCTTTTGTTTACCGCACTGGCGCTAATCCTGGTTTCCATGAGGCTGTTGGCGATGTTCTCTCCCTGTCGGTGTCCACGCCCAAACATCTTGAAAAGATTGGCCTGCTCAAGGACTTTGTACTTGATGAGGAGGCGCGCATCAATCAGCTCTTCCTGACAGCGCTCGATAAGATTGTATTCCTGCCGTTTGCTTTCACAATGGACAAATACCGTTGGTCGCTCTTCCGCGGTCAAGTGGACAAATCCAACTGGAATTGTGCATTTTGGAAGCTGCGTGAGGAATACTCCGGCATTGAGCCGCCAGTGGTGCGCAGCGAGAAGGACTTTGATGCGCCCGCCAAATATCATGTTTCCGCGGATGTGGAGTATCTGAGGCAAGTGCTCCCTTGGACAGACTTTGATCTTTTTTTAAATGACTCTTTCTTGAAAAACAGATATCTGGTCTCGTTCATCATTCAATTCCAATTCTACAAGTCCGCTTGCGTCAAGGCGGGCCAGTATGATGCCAACAATCCAGAGCTACCTTTGGATAACTGCGATATCTATGGCAGCGCAGCCGCTGGCGCTGCTTTCCAGTGAGAACTACAAGAAATTGAAACGCAAAACTGTTCTTAAATTACTTTGTTTATCAACAGTAACATGCTCTCGCTGGGCGCCTCCAAGCCCTGGCCCGATGCACTGGAGGCCTTTAACGGAGAGCGCATCATGACCGGCAAGGCCATAGCCGAATATTTTGAGCCCCTGCGCGTCTGGCTGGAGGCGGAGAATATTAAAAATAATGTTCCCATCGGCTGGACAGCCTCCGATAGTACGTAGCTCGGACTTCTTATATATAGCTTAGCCATATATTAACCAATATTCTTCTCCTTCCACAGAATGTGTGTCCACCTGAGTACGAGTGTCTCCCGGCAATTTCTAAAGTTCTTTTGCTCCAACAAGTTCGTCATAGCTTTGATAATGTGCAGTATTAAAAGCCATTTAAAAATCAAAACCCGTTGATATTTATTGTTGTACCTGTTAAGTGGAGCACATTATAATTACAAATTGTGGCCAAGTCTGGTCAATGGTCCCATGTTGACCATGGGCTCTGGCTGTTTGTCAGTTGCCTACAAGAGCTGCGCCTGTGCAGAACGTTATTCAAGGTGTTCAAAATACGACTACGTGTTGAGAATTTTAGATAAACAAGCGAATACGAAAGTGGGGGAAATTACGGAAAGTGTGAAACAATGCTCCAAGGTCTCCTCATCTTAGTAAGTAATTGTGATTGAATTGGTTTACGGTCGATCCTTCTTCCTGCCTTAAGGTTGTGTTCGTGGACCTGTTTTTTTGCGCGTATAAGATCAGGTCTTGGGTTGTCGTATGTTTTTATAAATTTGATTAGGCTCAGCTGTTTTAGTTTAAGAGCCGGTTTATGTAGAATAGGTGTCGCGCTCAAGCTGGTTCAAAATTGGGTTGAAACCTTTACAAAATACCCTGCAACCTTTTAGATATATAAATTGTCTAAAAAACCTTCAGTGGGTTTCGCCCTTAAATAATATTGAAGACAAGTAAGCCTTTAAATTGATGAGAAAGAGAAAAATGCCTGGCTTATGGAGAAGAGGTCTATTTGAATTTTCTTCTATACCATCTGTGCTTCAGTTGGAATGGAAGATTTTTTGTGTGGAACCCCCTTAGAAAAGTTAGGACTTCGAAATATGCCAGGATTTTTTATTGGTTAGGAAACAGACAATCTCTAGAGATGTAAAGTAGTAGAGAAAGAAATAAGCAGACATTTTCTGTTGCTTAAATCTGCTTGATTATAATTGGATTATAAGATTATGAATTTATGCTTGTGATCCAATGAGCTTAAGCGTGGATTATATTTCTTCCTGTGAGATTGTTGTTCCCTTTCTCTTGTGTCTGATCTCTCACTTATTTCTAGCTTTGCCTGGCTTTCACCCAAGCTAATCCCTCTCCTGATCCCAGTTTGGCTGCCTTTTTGAGCGATGTGAACCTGCAGCTATCCATGATATACGATCAGGAACAGTTGGCTTTTCTACAAAATGAGCTGCATGGACCCAACAACCTGATCGCCTTGCTGCAGGCCGAGTTGGCCCACGAAAAGCTGCTTAACTTCCTCGGAAGTATCAGCAAGCGCGTGGCCAAGTTCAAGCGTCTGCGCTTAGGTGATGCACTGCAGCGACGTCAGCTGCAGCGCGTGCCACAGCTGGGCTATGAGGCACTCAGTGGTGCGGAGGTGGTTCAGATTTATGAGCTGGCCGCCAACATGAGCGACAGCTATGAGAATGTCCAGCTGTGCGCCTATGGGCAACCACTAAACTGCACACTGCGGCTCATACCGGATGTGCAGCGCGTGGTGCAGCAGAGTCGGAACCTGGAGGAGATTGAGTACTATTGGCTGGAGTGGCGCCGCCGCACGGGCTTGGCCACACGCCAGCAGTTCGTCCACTTTATGGAGCTGTACAAGAAGACGGCCAAGGCGAATGGTTTTAGTCAAGCTCAGGATTATTGGTTCCATCAGCTGGAGCTTACCGGACAGCAGGCGATGGGTCTGCTGAACGAATTGATGTCTACGCTAGAACCACTTTTCCTGCAATTCCATGCACATGTGCGTGGTTCGTTGAGGAAGATGCATGGAGAGCAGCTGGTGCCGCATGGACGTGCGTATCCGCAGCATTTGGCGGAGGTTTTTCTGGGCAATGCCTACAGAAGTGCACGCGCAGATTGGTTTGTGGACATACCTGCGCCGGAAGCTGGTTTGCCCAATATCACGGAGGCATTGCAGCGACGTGGTCTGAGCACCACACAGCGCGTTTTCTGGAATGTGGCGGAGTATTATCGTGGTTTGGGTCTAACTCAATTGGAGAGGTAAGTGGTTAGCTTACGCCAACTAAAGCTCTGTAAGAGGCAGAGAAAAACGAAAAGGGTTTTTATTTAAAACTTAATTTACGGCCGATTATTCCTACACAAGATTTGAAGATGTATGATACAGCGTTTGCAGCCTAATTTGTATCAAAAACCTGGAGTTGCTTATACAAAAAGTTTTCTTTTTTTATCGAGCCTCTAATACAGGTTAAGATATTACTTGACCCCGATATATATATTGCTAGCAAAAAATAAGGAACTCTTAAAAGTTTCATTAAGATAGCTTTCAAATTGAGACACTTTTGTTGCATGCAAATTGTTTGATAGACTCAGTTAGATAGACTCAGTTCGGCAGTCAAGAATATATATTATAATATCATCTTCAATGTTTTCATCTTTAATAAAAAAAATTATAATTATAAATTCAAAGCAAGATAAGTAATTCAAAGACCAACTTCATATAATTGTTGTTAAAGCTTCCATAACGTATTTGTTTTAAAATTGTTATCGCTCTTCTATGCGATTTTCATAAAGTCAAAAGGAGCCTGCAGGTTTTTTTGAGTTTTAGTTCAGCCTTTTAAAGTGAGATAGCTCAAAATATGCTCTCTCCTTTTAGTTCTCTTTGGACCAATGCCCAGCCTGTGGCCAGCCACAATGAGGACAGCTGCTGGCACAAGGCGTGGCAATTTCACACGATGCCCTCGAATAACTTCAGCTACTGCCCGCTGTCCGACGAGGAGCGCTTTTTCAATATGTTTGAGGCACAGTTTGAGCTGCATTATTTTCGTGCCGCCGCAGCGCAACCAACGCTGTTGCGTGAAGAGCCGTTTCCCAATTTCAGGGATGCGATGGGCAAATCCTTCGCTCTGGCCGCCGCTTCCCCGCGCTATCTGCGCAAGCTGGGCCTGCTGCGGGATGCGAAGTGGAGCGGCCTGCCCGCTCGCCTGAATCGATTGTATTTGCAGGGTTTGCGTGTGGTTTTTCTGCTGCCCGTTTTCTACGTGCTGGATCGCTATCGGGTGGAGGTGCTCAGCGGGCACATCAAGGCCGACGACAACGAAGCCTATTGGCGGCTCACGGAGCGATATACAGGCGCTGTGCCGCCGCGCAGACGCAGCAACGAACACTTCGATGTGCCCGCCAAGCTGCTGCTGGAGGTGGATGATCAATATACCAGGTAGGTGGAACTATTAGGGAGGCTAGGGGACCTTTCCTTAAGTGGGCCAATATCAAATAAGCCCAGTATTTTCGTTACTTCCTTTTGCTTTACGATCATTGTTTATTTTAATTAATCGATAACTCCCTGAATTTCGAAAATCGATTAAAGCCAATATTCGGCCAAATTTGTTTATTTTATTTAAGCAATAACTCCTCGAATTTCGAAAATCGATAAAAGTCAATATTCGGCCTAACTTGTTTATTTTAATTAATCGATAGCTCCCGAATTTCGAAAATCGATAATAGTCAATATACCGCTAAACTTGTTTACTTAAATTAATCGATAACTTCACGATTTTCGAAAATGGATAATAGTCAATATTCGGCCAAACTTGTTTAATTTAATCATGTATTCGATATCTCCCCGAATTTCGAAAGTCGATCAAAGTCAATATTCGGCCAAACTTGTTTATTTTAATTAATCGATAAGTCCCCGATTTTCGAAAATCGATAAAAGTCAATATTCTGCTAAACTTGTTTATTTAAATTAAGCGATTACTCCACGAATTTCGAAAATCGATCAAAGTCAAAATTCGGCCATACTTGTTTATTTTAATTAATCGATACCTCTCAAAGTTTCGAAAATCAATACAAGTAAATATTCGGCCTAACTTGTTTATTTTAATTAATCGATAAGTCCCCGAATTTCGAAAATCGAGCAGTCAATATTCGCCCACGCTTGGTTATTTAAATTAATCGATAACTCCACGAATTTCGAAAATCGATAAAAGTCAATATACGGCCAACCTTGTTTATTTTAATTAATCGACAACTCTCCGAATTTCGAAAATTGATAAAAGTTAATATTCGGCCAAACTTGTTTATTTTAATTAATCGATAACTCCCGAATTTCGAAAATTGATAAAAGTTAATTTCCCGTCAAACTTTTTTATTTTAATTAATCGCTAATTTTCCGAATTTCGAAAATTGATGAAAGTTAAAATATTCGGCGAAACTTGTTTATTTTAATTTATCGATAACTTCACGAATTTCGAAAATCGATCAAAGTCAATATTAAGCCCAAGTTATTTTGGACGAATCTTGAGGTTATTTATGACAGTCGAATAATAAATACATAAGTTATTTATAAATGAAATATTCGTTAAAAAGCTCGAGCCGTCATGGCCTATTTATGAAAGATTTCACCCTATATAGCTTGTTTAATTTTGCTTTTATTTTCTTTACAGCCAATTCTTCAGCACCGTGCTGCAGTTTCAGATCTACAAAAACTTCTGCACCAGCACCGGTCAGTATGTGGAGGACTCTGCGGATAAGCCTTTGGATCTGTGCGATCTTTCTGATCAGCGTGAGATAGGAACCATTCTGAAGCACACCATGTCCTTGGGCTCGTCGCTGCACTACAAAGAGGTGCTGCAGCAGCTGCTGGGCACTGCCGAACTAAGCATGGATGGACTTTTGACCTATTTTAAGCCTCTGCAGGATTGGCTGACACAGCAAAATCGTGATAATGATTTGGAAGTGGGTTGGCTACCAAATTAATGTACGCCTAAAAGTATGCCTTTGTTTTGGCTAGATGAAAAAGTATGCAGTAAGAAAGTGTTTGAGTTTGACCTCGGAGTGGAACTTGTTACAACATGAGCCTTAATAAAAATCTGCAAGCCTTGGCCATAACATAAAATATATAACAATAAAATATATATGCATTTTTACGACAAAAAAAAAAAACAAACTCCTCTTCATCAAACTATTTATCTTTCGAAATTAATTATTTATAAGCAAGAAAATATAAAAGTAAATTTCAACAGCTTTTTAAAATCTTTTCTTATTTAAATATACCCAAGCCTATATTTTCCTTTAAAAATGGGTTTCACTTTTTTAAACTAGATATCCAATTCGATTAAAATTAGATCTTTGGATAAATGATGAAAATAACCTTAGCTCTTATGCTCTCTATAAAAGTAGATCCGAAGAATTGATTTACTTATGTACATGTTCTAGGTAAATGTACCTCGCACTTGAAACTGCTTAATTAACTTGAAAGTAAATTAAGTTTAGCTTATAAATAATACAATTAATTTGTGCATAAAGCGCAGCAAACGCTTTGTGCATGAAAAAAAAAACGGACAGAAATACCGGAAAGAATCTAAAAAACAAATGAAACAAAAAAACCCATAAGCGCGAGACTATAATTAAAATGCAATCCATTATGATGACTACCCGGACAGCTGATATTTAGAATAAAGTCAATAGTTAAAATAAATTGCTAGCTTAAAGATTATTCATACATATGCATAGTTCAATTAGTTACAGACACCTTAATGATAATTATTTTCCCACGCTTGCATTGGGCTGTCTCTAGAACTCTAGAGCTTATACTTTGTAAGAGTACACGAAGTACTTTAGACGCGACCTTGACTTAGAGTACTCCAAAATAAATAACAAAAGTATTCTAGCGAGAGTGTTTGACCGGGCGATACCCTGTACTCAGCTCTGTTCTGGTCGGCCCCTTCTTTCTTTTTGGGCATTTATCGATTTCCGGGCTGCAGAGGGAGCTATCGATAATTTGAAACACACGAGAGTGCTTGACTAGGCGATACCCTGTACTTCGCTCTGTTCTGCTCGACCCCTTCTTTCTTTATGGGCACTAAGATGGCATTTAAATTTGTGTATCAAAATATAAGTGTGGGTATTTATCGATTTCCGAGCTGCAGGGGAGTTATCGATAACTATATTCCTCCCTCCTACATCAGCAATATACGCTTTAGTACATTCCCTTATTTTCAACGAGTAGATGGTATTTTAATAAAGCTTTAGATCTGTTCCAGACCTCAAATACATTAACCCAAGCCACAACACAGAGCTAGAGCTAATTTTTATGAGCTCATATCCGTAAAGGGAAACGTGAGACGCAGCGAACCCAATCCCGAACTAATTACACTATGATTCATATATATACATGTGTAGCTTACCTGTATATGTACGTATTTGTATGCCAGTGGGGCAATCAAGGCATCAATCAGTCTTACTCATGTGTCCCCTTCAGTTAGCACCTTATGTTTAGTACTCTCTTCTCGCCTTATCTTCGCAATTGATCTACGCTGCGTTCATTAATTGCAACCCCCGCCCGACGCTGATGAGTCAAGACTTTGTTTGCATGCGGCTGGGTCAAGAGTGACATTCCTCGGGCGGGTGCGGTGCGGGCAATTAGCATTGCAGTTAAACGCATGCGGCAACACTGACTGCGGTTTCGGCGACACTAACCGCGACGTTAACGACGACTGCGACCGCGACCGCAAACGTATAAACAATTTTTAACAATAACTTGAATGCATTTTGTTATTTTATGCTCTGCTGTTTCGTTTTCTTATGTTATGCTTTAATAATTTATTTTATCGTCGATAGTCGATAGCAATGCAAGGGTGAATGACGAAATGTTCCTTGCAGCCAGTGGGAAAGCTTGGTCACATTAATTAATTGATATGCTATTGGTAATTGTTATCGATGCTCGATAAATGCAATTGTCTTTCCCAATAGCTTATTTGTAGTTGGTGTTGTTTATGTAGTGTAATTCGGTCACACTTGTGTAAAAAATGACGCTTTGGGCGCCAGTTTTTTGTAAAATTTCAATTATAATATTATTAAGTTGGAGAAATGTATTTAAAAAGCAATATAAAGACATAGTGTATTCAAAAGAAGTGTGAACATTAAGGTTTGTACTGTATACCTATTGCCGCTCAACCTACACCAACTACTGAGTGGGCATTGCATTGGAAGTCGCTCAAAATAAGCGACTCACTCATTTATACCCTGAGCACTTTCTCACACTCGCTATAATTATGCGGTTAAACCTTTTTTTTTGACTGATTAGTACTCGTATGTATATGCATACTCGTACATCGCACCCGCACCCTCCCTTATAATTGCAAACATGCATGCAAAAACATTTACATACAACTTACACACACTCACACTTGCATACATACTCACTTGTTACCCATTGTTGTTCCCAAGCTTATGGCTGATTTGATGGTTGTTGTTGTTGTCGTTAACAACAACGTCGACAGCGACGTCAACGCTCAGTCAGCCGCAATGCTAATTGCGTTTATCTCACACAACATTTAGAAGCATCGCGAGTTGCGGCGACAGCGCCGCCGACTGCGACGCCGATTGCAACTGCGACGTTGCTTCGCTGAAAATTTAAATTCATTTTCGAGTCACAAACAAAAAACAAAAATAAAAATAATAAAAAGTCACAAAGTAATTTCGAAAAAAATTCTTACACTCAACTCAGTAGAGTTTTAGACGCGTTACGTGATGTTACGTGGGTGGACGGGCTCTGAAAATTTCTAAAAAAAACGGAAAGTGACCTGAAAGTGTGTGAAAATATATAATATTGTGCGAAAATTCTATTGTGATCTTCGCTCAAAAGTTAGTTAGCTATTAAATTACCTGTGCTGATTGAGAAAAATAAGGTTTTTTATTGCGTGATCAGCAAAAAACTCCTTTTAAAAATCAGCTATATTCTATTTAATAAAAATATTTCTGGGCATCTCAAGTGAAGTAAAAGTCCCAAAAGTTCGTGTTTCTTCGTGTGATCGGCAGAAATTTTAAAAAATATTTAAGAAACCCAAAAAAAGTCATTTCTATTCGTGCGGTTTCTGAAAGTCAAGATACTTCCTCGAGTGATCGGTAAAAACTTACTCGATCTTGAAATTTTAATTTTGTCTTCGCATTAGACTCTGCGTGTTCAGCTTCTTCATATAGCCTGTGATCGTTTGCCCTATTTGAGCGTTAAAAATAATGTCATAAAGCTGTAATTAAAATTGTAAATTGCTTGTGAAAGATTTAATTAGCGGTGCGCGCTGACCTTGAGAGTGTTAAATATATAGATTTCGTTGCATGATAAACGAATATGTGGAATTGTCTTTTTATCATATGCTCCACGCTATGGAGCCTGAGTCGTGCTAATCCACAACTTAACTTGCCTACACCACAGCCGGAGATCTTCTACAATGGCTACACACCCAATGTGGCCACAACTCCCGCCCAGCTGAGAGCAGATCGCGATCGTAGCCAGCGCTTTGGGCCGCCCTATACGGATGACGGGGCTGGAGGCAGCGGCACCAATAGTGACGATGGACTGGACGATTTTAGGGTGAGTTTTACTGATTTTACTTCCTTCAAGAAGAACGCTGGGTAAAGCTTGTAAGTCTTGAATTAAATAATATACTGTAACGATCTCATTTGCAGTATGGTCAGACCTATGACGAGCGCATGCGACTGGGTTACGCCTATCCCACACCCAGACTGAATTTTAGTGATCGCGCCGATGATTCACCCTTCAGTGGGGATCAGAATCCCAGTCGTGGCCAAGATAATCGTTATGCGAATCACAATTATGGACCAACATCTAGCAGCACCGAGCGCAACTATGGCAATTTTAATGATCCGCCCAACAATATTAATCAGAATAATGGACCCATCTACAACAATCGAAACGATCAATATAACTACAATAACAATCCGAATGTCGAATTTGTGGGGGTTAACAATCGCAATCGATTTGAGAACCCCTATCTATCCAATCAGGATCGATTTAATCTGAACCAGGGCTATCTGGAGCGTCAACGCTATCAACAGGACCGTCGCTATCAGCAGGAGTTGGAGAAGTTACGCAATTTGCTGGTCGAAACAGATCAGAAGGGCTCGCTCGAGTGCACCGCCAATGTGGCGGCGCAATGGAATTTCGAGACAAACGTAAACGATTTTACACAAACGGAAGCGGTGAGTTGACAGTGGGGTATATACGTACATAGACATACCCTTGAAATTGTAATTGTATTTGAAATTGTGCTGTAGCAGCACGCGATCTCACTGTGTATAGTATTCACATCAGTTAGAGATCGACGTCTATGCAACTTGGCAATTTTCTTGGCGTGGCAAATAGACACAACATGTACAATACACAGACACTCATGAGGCACACACAACATAGTCAAGGTCGTTTGCCTGTGGGGGGTTCTCAGGCAGACATGCCAATGTCAAAGTGTTGTACTCTTGAGAGTTTTGCACCTTGTCGTTGGGCCAAAACTGAACGTGTTCAAAGTAAATATGATTTTCAGTTATACGAAAATATATGCTTCTTGTGTGATTAGGTCTGGTTCGAGCAGCAGTTCGTAAAAGAACTTACAACTTTGAATTAGGCCATATTATTAGGATCGTTATGCCGTTGGGAATAACATTTCCGATCTCATTAAATATAACAAGTAACAGGTTCTAGTCAGGAGCTCCCGACTAGGGAATACCCCGAACCATCTTATTCCAACACCAAATGCAGCACGCGCTACGCGCTCGTTTGTAGTAATAAAGATCAATTAAAAAAAAAGTTCCTTTGGCAGGATTCGAACTCGCAACTAACCGCACTACTTGCCGCCGTCCCTACTCAACAGCCACACCAGCCAAAAAAAACAACTAAGAGGTTCTAGTCGGAAGCTCCCGACTAGGGGAAAGTATATATATAAAAATATATATACTATTCTAGAAGCTACATGTGAAGTTTCGTGACTCTAGCTCTTATTATTTACCAAAATTGCTCAAAAACCGAATTTCGATATAGATTTTTATCGATTTCTTGGAAACGGGGTAAGTTATCGAATATCGGAAACAAACTCGATCTGCGCAAGGACTAGGAGGACCTTCAGCCAAAATTCAAGTCTCTAGCTCTTACAGGTTCTGAGATCCTTGCGTTCATACATACGGACGGACATACGGACATGGTTAGATCGACTCGACTGTTGATGATGATCAAGATTATATATGTAAACTTAATGGGGACCTTCCGATGCTTCCTTCTGCCTGGTACATACATTTGCACAAACACAAACAAAAACCGATCTTAATGAAATTTTCTACAGTATATCGTATTGTACCATAGAATATTTGCGTATTCTCAAAAAGTTAATTGCATTAAAATTGTAGCTTAAATTATTGGGCAATGGAAATTTGGTTATTAACTTGATTTATAGCTATGAGGTAGTAGCGGGGAGGTGGCGATAGGTATAAAATGAAAAATACTTCATATATATACATATATACTATTCTAGAGTAAACATTTCACTTTTGGTGACTCTAGCTCTGATTATTTACTCAACTTGCCCAAAAAATAGGAATTCAATATCGATTTTTATCGATTACTTGGAAACGCGACAAGTTATCGAATATCGCAAACAAATTCGATCTGCGCGGGCACTAGGAGGACCTACAGCAAAAGTTCAAGTCTAGCTCTTATCGGTTCTGATATCCTTGCGTTCATACATACGGACAGACGGTCGGACGGACGGTCCGACATGGCTAGATCGACTCGGCTGTTGATGCTGATCAAGAATATATATATTTTATGGAGTCGGAAATGCGTCCATCTGGGTATAAAAATCATTTGAGACGTATTTTACACTTTTCGCAGAATCCAAGATTCCTAAAAAACGCAATTCAAAGATTTTTTGGTGTAAGTTTTAAGTTTTGTCCGATTAGGATGAAAATTATTTTCAAAGCTCTAAATAAGAACTTAAGGAATACGTGTTTCAGCGATTTGGGAAATTCCATGGATATTTAAGAGCAATTCTGTATAGGTTCTTGGGTGGTAAATGCAGGTCAAAGGTTTAATAAACGAAAGATTATTCTTCAGCGGAAGCCTTTAATTCAAACAATTGGTTTTTATTCGATGCAGTTAAAACATAGATGAAGATAAGTAGATTCCAATTTTCCACGGGCGGGTACTTAGTACTTAGTACTAAGTGAAATATCTAGTGAAAAGGTAATATCTACAATTTTTAGCAAAAAGCGTTCCACGGGCAAGGCCGGGCAATATACGCTAGTATTATTATATTATATATATATATATATATATATATATATATATATGTGTGTCTATATTTAATATTATAAAGTCCAACAATATTAAACTATTAAAACTAGTTCATGTGCATTTCCTAACAAATTTTTTCTTTACAGCTAAATGCTCAGCAACGCTATGTGGAGTATCAGCGCATAACAGCCGAACAATCGAAGCATATTAATAAGGACCTCATATTTGATCGACGTTTATATAGACAGCTAATGCTGCAATCTGAAGTGGGACCCAATTCCTTACCCCTGGATGTTTTAGACAGAGTAAGTTTGCTCCATGTGAACGTCATATTCTGATTTAAGTGTCCTTTCCTTACAGTATAATCGCTTGTTGAACGAAATGCTATTCTTGTACAACG